GTGGTGTTTTGTGGTTTTTTTTTCCTGGAGGCCAAAACTACACACTTTTCCCCCCATTTTCATCCAGCTTACATTGTTCTCAGGTGGAAAAAAAAAAAAAAACAAACCCAAAAACCCAAACCAACCCCCTCCAAAAAAACCTCAGTGTTTCCTCTAAGCACACCGATACAGTTGTGTGAAATTGTGGTTTGTTTCCCCTCTTGTCTTTATTCCCTAAAAGCCAAAAAAAAAAAAAACCAGAAAGAAAAAGGTGTATACATCTGTTTAAACTGTAAAATAACGCAAAGCACTTGTTGTAGCAAATTAGAGGGCTTTTTGTTCCAGATTTAATTGCATTCCAGAAAGGGGTTTTCACAAAAACCCAATATCCGGTGATGTCTTTTATGCCTTTTTGTCGCTGTTTTTAAATGTTTATGAGAGGATCCTTACGGTCCCTGCTCCTTCTGTGGCTTAAATTGGCCACAAAATGGTAAATTTGGGATATTTTCTCTTTTTTTTTTTTTTATTTTTTCGCCCCTTCCATCAGCGCTTCACCAGCAGAGCTTGAAAATGTTACTGGTCTGCCTGAAACGTTTTTTAGTTCAGAGAGAGCGGGACTTCATAGCATCAATTTCCCCACCACCACCACCTTAATATATTCAATTAGTAGTGTTAATTTACTAAACGTACGTATGTGTTAAGTTTTAGGCTTCCCCCTTCTTGAGCCGGAAAAATCCAAACTGGTTTTTGATTGTCTGCTGCTGACGGCGTTAAGCCTTTTTTTTTTTTTTTTTTTTTTTTTTAATCCGTATCGTGATGAGTTGGAAAGATGTCGTCGACAAGAAAACTGGAAAACTTAAAATTTTAAGTTTGTTATTTTAGTTTGTAATTCGAACGGGAGTTGTTCGAAATGTCAGGAGTTCTCAGGGATTGTACTGCCGAGTTTACAGGAGGCGTTGACTGGGTCCATAAAGTGACTCGTAGGGTTTTTTTATATATTTATATATAGTTAAATATTAGCAGTAGGACTCAAACTTCTTGTTTGGGGCTTTTCCTTGGGCTTTCCTTCCCCCGACCCCTTTTTAATTGAGCTCAACCTCCTTCCTAGCCTTCACGCTTTGGGAGAAATTACCTTTTAAATCCTGCAAACGCGCGTTTTTAACACCGGTACCGTCAGTAGCTCCTTGAAAACATTGGAGCAACTTCTCATAGCGACGCAAAACACCCACCGGGAATTAATTTTTTTTACAGTGTTGGGTTTTTTTTGTTGCTTTTTTTTTTCTTTCTAAGGGTGTAATTGTTCGTCTGAGGCTCCTTGGGTCGAGCGAGGCTTTGTTGTACCGGGTTAGAGGAAAGACTAAAGCAAATCCCAGACCCCAGCATCATTTTGGTTTTTTTGTTTTGTTTGGGTTTTGTTGTATTTTTGATTTTTTTTTTCCCCCAAGGGTTTGGGACGTCTCCCGTTGCTGTGGCATCAGCCGTGCCGTGGCAGCGAGGACGTCGGCATTAGGATTTCCCTGAAGGATACGGATAGGAGGAGCGGGAAGGAGCTAACCTGGGAGCAGAGAGGAGGTTCAGAATTAGCAGCCGAGTCAAGCGCGTTCCCCGAGAAATCTTGAGTTAGGATCAAATAGCACTTCAAAAGTTGCCCTTAGTTAGAACCGTCGCTTAAAAACGGCGATTTTGGGGGCGGCAGGAGGAGGATTGACCCCCATGACAGCCAGGAGTGAGCTAAGGGCATCTCCCTCCACGTCTTTTATAAATTGGTACAACATATTTGTTAACGATAACGAAAAATAAAACGAAAACAAACCCCCAATATATAGAAGATATCGAAAGCTGATAAATTTTCATGACTTCTGCCCCGGTCGGCGCAGTTTGAATGAGACGGCGCGGCCCCCGCTGCCTTCAAAGTGGCACTTCTTTTCTTTCTTGATTGATGTATTCCCCCCCCCCCTTTCCCTCTTGCCCTCCCCGGTTTCCACTTGGAATAAAACGGAAGGCGGCCGCGCTGGCGGGCCGGAGGAGAGAGCTTAGTTCCTTTGGGATTCTTCTGGAATAATCGGGGTTTGGGTGAAAGGATAAGAGATTTCGCTGACCGGGGTTTTCTCCCCGCGCGCCGAGCGTGGTGCAGGTGGGATGGCGGGGTGGGATCCGTTTTCCTGCGAGCGAGTTGTCGGCGAGGCAGTAAACTGCCGAAGCGTTAAATGAGTGATTAATAACCTTTAGCTGGATGTAGAGGTCACTCGGAAAAATGCGTTGGAACTAGACAAAAACTTCAAATGCAGAGAAGGAGCAAAACCGAACCTGTCCGTCCTAAAAAAGAATTAAATTCCAGATTTGGATTTTTAACAATTCAGATTGTTAAAAATCAGCTTTAAACTCGCTTGGTTGCTCGGCTCGAGGCAGAAGGTCGTTTATCCTAAAGATAGAAGACGTGTGTGCGCAGCTCAAGTCGCCGTTAAGCGTTTTTAACTTAAAATCCCGTAAAATTAGACGGGAGCGTTCGCTTATTGTGAGATTAAATTGCGCAGATTTGCGAGCCGGTGACTTCCAGAGCGTTTGCGCTCAATTTTCAAACCCTTCCCGCTGCATCGCTCGGGGAAAAAAAAAAAAAAAGCATTTTCACCCCCTCTCTCGTATTTTTGGGGTATTTTGGGGGGTTAAACCGAGATCTATCTTTGTACATGAACGCCCTTCCCCGCTTTCGGCGGCCGTGGAGCCGCTCCGGCCAAACCGGCTCACTCACCGGCCGGGCGATTTCACGCTCAGCTGCACCTCTTGTGCCAAAAAAAAAAAAAAAAAGCAGTTTAAAAGAAGGTTTCTTCCTTTTAAATTGTGTGGTTTTTTAATAGGGTTATTGTCTAGAAGTTACTCTGTCGCACCTATGTATGTAGAGCACACAAAGTGCTTTTTTTTCCTTAAAACTAGTAAAAAATCACTTGTGTTTTTGCAAAGATGGGAGCCGAGAGGCTTATTTCTGACGAGGTTTCTTTCAGGTGTAACGAGCAAGGAGGGGTAATATCTTTAATATCTTTAATGGGGTTAGGAGGGTGTATCGGCTATAACCGATCAGTAAATCCGCCGTCTGGGCCGCTCATTTGTCACTTCGTTATGCTCATTCCCAAATTTAACAGCGCCTCGACTGGATATAGTGACGTTATTTATTTTAAGGTAATATTTTAATTCCTCCGTGGCCAGGATAGCAAAAAAAAAAAACCCTGCTGAATTGGTCCTTCTTATGATTTTCCCCCCCCTCCCCGTGCTGTCGGTCTGGCAGGATAACGATTGGAAAGAGCGTTTTTTTTGTGTTTTCCAGGCGTCCTCATCGCCGTGTTCCGGCATTGCCGTGGCGCTGTCACAAACACCGCCAGGATACGTGCTGCGCTGGCGACCGTCCCCTATAGAGCAGTCGGGCAGGAGTGATAGGAAAGCTCCAGACGAGTGCGGATTCGGGGAAGAATTTTCCCCGAATCAGTCTTTTCTGCGATACCAATAGTTGCTTAACAGACATGGCTTCTTCACCGCATACCCGCAGCGACTCTCCACGGTGAGCCGTTCCCCCGAAAACGCACGGATTTGCTTTAATCGCTTGAAATTTCTTGCCGTCCCACCTTAGGAATCCTCTGGTTGCTTCCATATATCCGCGCTCGCTGGTTGCCATATTTCAAATTACTCCTGGTTCGTTGCGTTTGAAACCCGTCGGGCGAATCCAGTGCTTCGGATAATACTTGCCTAAAACTTTTCCGAGCGTCTTTCCAGCCCCGCAGTCTCTCCGAGAGGTCGGTGTATCGTTTCTGCCCCAAACCTACTCAAATCCAGCAGAACTGGAGTTAAAAAAAAAACCACCAGGAGAAGATATCGCCCGTCTTAAGGTGTAGTTTGGTCCCTGAGCGTCTGTATGAAATTTTCTCGGCCTTTAGGAGACGTTTGTGTTGATGAAATGATTAATATCCATCTGCTAAGCAGCCATCGGTTCGGCCTCGTCCCCTCTCTTGGTACTTTTCAAATAATTGTTGCGGCGGCTGCAAAATTTGCGCGTTTTGGTTCTCGAGAGCCTTTTTGGTCTTCGGTTCTGTAACCGCGGTGAATTTAATAACGCGATTGTCGATCGGGGACGCTGCTCCAGGGGGTGTAGTCTCCTCTAAAGCTTGATACCAGACCGCAGCAACTCCAGGCAGGGTAAAAGCGCCTGTGAAAGGTAATTATCACTCCTGAAAATTGCAATTAAGGTGTTAACGACATACGTTTGTCCCTCTCCGAAGGCAGCGGGGAAGGCAAGGGAACGTTCACCATCCCCAGCTGGCCGAGGACTCCTGGGAGAGGGTAGAGGGTAAATGACGCCGGTTCGGAGGGAGCGATGCCGAAGGGAATAGCTGTTTTTTACGAAACCGTACGGTGTGAGGCCATTTACGGGGTCGCAGCGGGATTTAGAGCATCTCCTCCTTTACTACCTGCCCGGCTCGTGCCTGGCGTGAGCTGCCTCGGCGTTTGACGTAGGTTGCTGGACACTGGATCCAGAAACTTGATGGCATTTCTAGTTTTAAATCCATTTCTTTATGAATCTCTCCTTTTAGGGCTTTGACAGGGCTTTTATTTCAATATTTAAAGACAGTTCCTTTCCGTAAGCTTGTTTTCTTCCCGTTCGTCCCCTCGGCTTTGCGTGGAGAGTGAGTTTCTCTTGTTCCGAGGCTGAACGCGAAGAGCCGAAGGATGTTGCCTTCCCGCCGCGGAAATCGTTTCCACTGAGACTCGCCTTTAAAACTTGTATACACACCGAGGAATTACGCATCACGTTTAAGTGCTTCATGAGTAATACTTAAACGAGCTTGATTTTGGAGCTAGCCTGTTATTAAAATGGCACGAGCGCAAACAAAACCAAGCGGGGGAGCTTTGCGTCGGAGTCGGAGCGGACGGCTGGAGCCCAGCGGTTGCCCTCCGCTATGCCCAAACCTCCCCAGGATGGTTAACTCTTTTTTTTTTTTTTTTTCCTGTGAATTTGGGGAAATAATTCGGTTTTTCTTGGTGGGTTTTTTTAATGTTAACAGGTCGGCTTGTTCACGCAGCGCGACTTTGCTGCTCGTAAACCCCATTTCAGCTTCCAGACCTCCCTGAGAGCGGCGG